TTTTTTTCTTTTGCTAAGTATCCAAATGTTCCAGAAATTAACTGGAATTAATAGGAGCCAGCAAGTAATGTTACTAGTGCTACTGAGAACATTGAAATTATTATTATTATTTTTTTACTGTCACTTGTGGAAACCTTTTTAACGGCCAGTTGCTTTTTAGATGGTTATAAACAAGTTGAAAGTGTTGTTTATTTTAAATGAGCACTCTCACTGGTAGGATTCACTTTATCCTTATTATGGGTTAGGTAAGAATGGCATATTTTTATTTAAGGGATGAATATATTGTACTTTGATTTGTAAGAAAAGTCAGTGGAATGTGAAGAAGCTAAAAGTAATCAGTAGCTCCTCTTTGCAGAGTTTTGATTATGAATGTCAGGAAAAGGCTTCACTTCATTTCCTGACTTCTTCACCTTTTTTTCCTTTTATGTCCTTTTTTTTTTCTTCCTTTTTTTGTAATATGGAGAAAAGAATTTTATTTCATTCATCTGCTGAGGGAAAAGAGAAAGTTAGGAGTCCAGATGATTAGATGAAAGGTTCACTGGAGTGCACGGGGAATAGTTGGCACATCTTTTATTTTTTGTTAGATCCAAGTGATAGAGGCCATGCAGAAAATATATAAATACTTGAAATTTACTGTTTGAAAATATGGAAATAGAATTTTAAATTTCATGCAATTTTCACACATGAGAACAGAATACTGTTTTTTTTTTTATTTTTTGAATGATTTAAGAATGGAAAATATTCTAAGCCAGGTGTGGTGGTGCATACCTTTAGTCTCAGAGATAGAGGGTACGTGGATTGAGGCCAGCCTGTTCTATAGAGTGAGTTCCAGGACAGCCAGGAATCTGTTACACAGAGAAACCCTGTCTTGAATTTCTCCCCCCCACCCCCGCAAAATGCAAAATATTCTGAAGTTGAACTGTGAAAAAAAGAGGTGGATGTCTCGATTTGACACAATAGCTATAATTTAGTGACTTCTGCTGTGTATAGATTAATATTGTGCAGGAAGTTTATCAAAAACATGTTTCACAATTTGAGACTGTTTACATGTCCTGAATATATATATATATGCCTTTTATGTGCCCTGGAATTGGCATTCAAGTAATTTAAGTTATCATGAGGAGAAAAGAATAGTGCTTAATATGGTTGATTCTGCCAGTATCTTGGAGGGTCTATCATGAATTTTATTTAATTTAATTTTTATTTTTACTATTAGTGGAGCTGCTATTTATAGCTGGGTGCAGAGAAGCAGGTCAGTTTCAAGCAGTTACTCTGCAATATAAAAGTTTAAATTTTGGAGTCAAGCCTGAATTTTAATCCTTTATTAAATATGTGGCTTCCTGTGTCATTCCTTTGAGCTTTAGTGGAGTGGGATTTCTCTTGGCCAAGTCATATACTTGTGCAAGTGATAGCAAAGCAATTGCAATAGCATCTGATATTTACAATTGGGCCCAGAATATAGCTTGTAATATTTTTTGTTTTTAATGAAGTATAATATTCCATTAATTATTTGAGCATTTCATTATTTGAGCATTCATTATATAATAGATTGATATTATTTATTCAGGAAATTTCAGTATTGTACCCAGGCAGTACACATGATTATGAAGTTCAGATTAGATTTTTTTGGGTGGTAGGTTTTGTGTTCCAATTACATATTATTCTGAAATTACCATCTGTAAAACAGTGCTTGGATATAAATTAGATTCTGAAGGTGGAAGTCTTGCTGACTCCTTTTCTGGTCCTAGGCATAAGTTCAATTATAAGATTTTACTTTTTCAGTTCTGTCTCTTTTTTTTTTTTGGATTTTCAAGACAGGGTTTCTCTGTGTAGCTTTGTGCCTTTCCTGGATCTCGCTCTGTAGACCAGGCTGGCCTCGAACTCACAGAGATCCACCTGCCTCTGACTCCCGAGTGCTGGGATTAAAGGCGTGCACCTCTCTTAATGGCTGTAGACTGAAGATAATCTTCAAGGTCAAGTTTTGCAAGATAATCAGAGTACCAGGCAATGTACTGTGTTTATTATTGGATGTTGAGTGCTAGATAAGTTAAAGAACTCAAGATGTTAAAATTGAGGCCTAGACAATTAGTTCCTTAAGATCACCCAAGTAACTACATGGGAGATGACTCTTAGATGTTCTGATTTTTCCTGCCACTATTCACAGTTCACCTCATAGACAAGCATCACACACACATACACACACACACGTGCACATGCACATGTGCACACACAAGGGGGGGCTCTTTTGGCTTCTTTGTAAACAAAACCTAGTATTTTTAAGAAAAATAATATGTTAGTATTTTGAACTTCAAAATTAATACTTAAAAATCTTGGATACAAAAATGAACTTTGGGCCCCTTCAAATCATGTAGATGCAGTTTTGAAACTGCTTCTTCCTCATTAATATTTAGTAATTTTTATTTTATAAGTGCATACTTACAGAAAAAAGTAGCTAGGATAAAAAGCATGAAATATTTAACTTAGTCATGTCATTCAGAAAATTCTTATTTTATATTTTGAAACAAACAGGTTTATCCTACATTTATAATTTGATCACTAGTTTTGTTAGTGATATAGCAGGAAGGCTGTTGGTAATTATTTAATTTAGTGAATTCTGTCAGTTTATTGAAGCAGATCACTGTTAGTAGGCATGCTGATTTTCCCTAGATATAGGGAAATAATGTTTTCCTTAACTGACCACTTTTCCTCATAAGTGGGATCTCTTAACTCATATGATACATTTTAAATTTTATTAAATTTATTTATATTCTGTGGATATGTGTGGCTGGGTATATGCTGTGGTGTGTGTGTAGAGGTGAGAAGATAATTTGCAGTAATAGGTTCTCTTCTTTCACCAAGTGGGATTCAGGGATCAAAATCAGGTCATCAAGGTTGGCCTGTAGGTCATTCTCTGTTTGCACACTGTGAGTGGTGAATGTATAGGAAACATTTCTAAATATAAGCACCTGGATGGGTTGGTAGTATTTGGCATACAATTCTGTACCATCTGCCTGTGTTGTTTGGAGTCATAGTTCTAAGACTTACCAGTTCCCTATTTACTTGTTTACCTCTATTCCCTTTGGCCACTTAGTTCTATCCATTAACAAAATAATGGCATGAAGTTTTGAGAATGAAAGTAGGTAGATTCTTCCTACTTGCAGTTCCCATGCTTGTAAATTTAGATTCAAAAGAATAATTTGAATTATATTACTGTGGATCAAGTATACAATTCTACTTAAATTGTGGTTGTAGGGGACAGGGGCCAGCTAAAGACATCCACCCTGACCCAGGAACCCAGAACCAGTGAAAGAAACACAGCCTGGATCTGGGACTGAGCCAGTGAAAGAAATATGCCCTGGCCTTAGAATTAGAGCCAAAAAGCTTAAAAAAAAAAAAAAAAAAAAAAAAAAGGTCAGTGAAAAAAACACAACAGTTTCGCTCTGAAATCAGAGCCATCTGTGCCCCTGACCAATGAAACTAAACAATCCTTGAACAAAAATTTCCCTGGAGAAACTCTGCCCCAAAAAACCCTATATAAACCACCCTGCTGTTCTTTCCCACCCTGGTAGAGGCAGGCACTCTGTTGGACTTCCTAAATAAATCTCTTTCTCAGAAGAATCTTGGGTGAAGATCTTCATTTGCTGGTGCAGAGAAGAACCACCTTGCTAAGATGTCCTTTAGGAGACTGAGCAGGAAAAATCCTTGCTGAGAGGTTTCCTTAGGGGACTGAGCAAGGTGGAGCAGAACAGAAGAACCTTGCTGAGATCTCCCTTAAGGGGACTGAGTAAGGTAGAGCAGAAAAAGTAACAACTTTTCTCAGGAGTCGGGAGATTGTTACACTTTGCAGAGTTGAAGCAAAAGAAGCAACATCTTGGGCGAGGGAGAAGAAGCCGAACTCTGCTGGGAAGCTCCCTTAAGAGCTCAGCTGTAGTGCCTCTCCAGGAGAAGAGCAGGATTGCTATATCCTGCAGGGAGACCGTCAGCCACTGCACCCCAGCCCCAGGTATAGCCTGACTTCCCGAGCAGTCCGGATACCTTTCCTCTTGCTTACAGTGGTAATCTCAAAGAATAGAATTTTAGAGTCAACATATAGAGATAGATTATGTAGAACAACTTCTTGGTTGGTGACATAATTCATTCCTTAAGTTTTATTGATCACTTTGTGTGAAAAATGATAATCAAATGTTAATCTTCATGGTTAAAGTTCATGAAGATGAATATGAGTTTGACCTAATGGAAGTTAAAACCTTTTCTGTCTTTCCTATGACACAGATTTAATGAAGAGGGTTAGTAACAAATCTGGGCTCAAGGTTGTATATGTTGGTACTGCTTTCCTTTGAATTATATGAGATTTAGATTGTTCCCTTTTAAATCTCTTGATTGTTAATTGAGAAAAAATTGTTTTCTTAAACTCTAGATAGGAATTTAGTGTTAACTACAAATTAAGTATTTGAGACTTAATTAGAATGAATTAGTGATTTTATATATAATGAAAAGGAAAACTGGCATGGAGGTGTGACACAGCAATACATTTAAGGTTTTTACTTGTGCTAAACAGTTTAAGGATCACACATCATCCAATTAAGCTTATCTTTTTTGTTTGTTTGTTTTTTGAGATAGGGTTTCTCTGTGTAGCTTTGTGCCTTTCCTGGATCTCACTCTGTAAACCAGGCTGGCCTCGAACTCACAGAGATCCGCCTGCCTCTGCCTCCCGAGTGCTGGGATTAAACGTGTGTGCCACCACTGCCCGGCAAGCTTATCTTTTTAAACCAAAGAAAAGCATACTGTATTAAAATGATTTTTATAAGATGACATTTTATCACAGTTTCTTAGTATTACTTTACTACTTAAAACACTTGAGGGTAATAATGGATTTCTAGTTTCTACATCTAAATATTTAGTTTATTGCTTCATTGCTTAGCTAACTTTTGTCTTATCTGTTCGGCTTTGTTTCTGAGCAATACTAATCACTGTGCTTATTGTTTGAATGTCTGGTACAGGAAGCGAGCAGCTGCAAAGCATCTAATAGAACGCTACTACCACCAGTTAACTGAGGGCTGTGGAAATGAGGCCTGCACGAATGAGTTTTGTGCTTCCTGTCCAACTTTTCTTCGTATGGATAACAATGCAGCAGCTATTAAAGCCCTTGAGCTTTATAAAATTAATGGAAAACTCTGTGATCCTCATCCCTCCAAGAAAGGAGCAAGCTCAGCTTACCTTGAGAACTCAAAAGGCACACCTAATTCAGAGATAAAAATGAACAAGGACGGAAAAGGAGCTAAGCCTGATTTTAAAGGTAAGAGATTGTATTTTCAATTGAGAATAGTTAATTAAAAGCTGTATCAGAGATTTAAATGTTTTGCTTTTGTTATTTTGCCTTTTTGTGACCTAAAGACATCACAGTATAGTGAAAGCCACTCTTTTGGTAAGATGTGGTAAAGGACAGTTATAATTGAATTAGTTACTTTATTGATATAGTAGTTGTTAGTCAGAAGCAGATTATAATCTAAAAGTTGATATGTTAATGAGTTGATCTCAATATGTAATGATTTCCATTGTACCTAATAGCCTATTAGCTCACCAAGTCTATTACATATATTGCATTTGCAGTAAATCCTGGTATGAGCTCTGAAACTCCAGGGACTGTGGTAAAAGAAGCATGCGTGTATATATATATATATATATCTATATATAGATATACATCAGGGCAATATTTGCAATAGTTATCTAAAAAATGTTGGGTTTTTTTGTAATATTTTCTTCCCATATACTGCCTTTACCTTGGGCATTTGTTATCCTCACAAGGGACTCATGTCTTGTTTTTTTTTTTGTTTGTTTGTTTGTTTGTTTTGTTTTGTTTTAAGCAAGGTTACTAAGACTGTCTTTGGACTTTTATTGATTAAAGAATTGGGCCAGCATACCTGGTTTATGTGGTACTGGGAATGAAAGCTAAGTCTTTGTACATGCAAGATAAGCACTGCCAACTGAGTTACATCCCCAACCAATCTGTTCTTTTTAAAATGGTCCTATATTTTGAAACATCTTAAAACTTTCTGCTTTTCCCTCATGGATATTCAATCTTTCTTTTTCTTAGTGTAAGTAATTAGTATTAACAATGAGGTAATTTAATTTTTCAGATTGCCAGGGCTTAGACCCACTGTCATTTGATACATGTTTAAAAGAATTGGTGTAATAAAATTATGTTAAAACTTTATACTGTTATTCCACAATATAACTATAGAAAAATCAGAAACTTTGCTACTTAGTCAGTCCTTTTTCATGAATTTTCTCACATATGGATAAATAGGTGAATACTATCAATATGTTGGATGTGGAAGTTGTGTTAGCTTCATTTTGCATGTTTTTGCCACAGAGGGGCATCACAGAGTAACCGTAAATGAAGTATAATATGCCACTGTGATTGAATGCAACTAGCTATAGGAAATCTAGTACATAATGGATGTAGTAGTCTTTTTTTTGCCCATTTTTTTTGTAATTTCTTGTTTTGTGTATCACTTCAATTTTTATTGCCTTTACTCATTATAATATTTTTATTAGGAATTACACATGCTTAATCATACTACAGCTCTCATTTTGATAATTGTATTTGTTCAATCTAATTAGATGTGTAGGTATCAATTATTGTATGACAGCTGTGTTCTTATATGAAACTGTTTTGTACTTTTTAGAGTACAAAATACTATGTGTTAAGATTGTCTTTTAGCTGAGTCTTGTGTCGTTGTAGTCTAGGTACTCAGGAAGCCAGGGAAGAAGCATCTTGAATTCCAAGTGAATCTTAAAAATGTTTCTTCACTTACCAGTTCATTGATATCCAGACTGTAACTATTTGTATTTCTGATTGCAGTGCTTTACATACACACACAGACACACAGATACACATACACAGAGGGAAGGAGAGAGTGAGGGAGGGAGGGGTGTGGAGGAGAGGAAAGTTGTCAGTTAAACATTTCAAGCAGAACACTGCTTGGAACAAGTATTGGTACATTGTAGAATTGTAGGTCAAACATGTTATCTCCTAACAGGCTCTTTATTCATTATAGATATTTTCTATGTTTTTGGTTACATTTTAGAGAAAAATTAGACTTGAATGGTCAAAGAAGATACCATAGTATTTTCCAGTTGTAATGAGAAATAAGCTCAATGTTAGTTCTTTCATACTTACTTATTCTTAAGAAACTGAAGAGTTAGTGCTTGGATTGGCATGCTAGCTCATAGGTACATGTACCTACTGCCAAGCTTCATGGCTTGAATTAGATGCCTGAGACCCACATTATAGAAGGAGAAAACCAAATCCTTCAGGTTATCCTCTGACCACCACATGTCTGCTGTCCCCTTACCCCTATTAAATATATGTAAGAACAGCACTTCTTTTTAAAGAAAGAATTGAAGATCATAAAACAAACGTGTTGATATTCTTGGAACAGCCTACAGATCAGGTTTGCAGTATATAAAGCTTCTTGCTCCATGGTTTATGTTTTGGAAGCCATTCTGTCAATGATGACTTGAATTTTATATTGTCTCTTACTGTTGAGTAGGTACCTTGAATAATATGTAGGAATCATAGGAAAGGTTTTTGCATGCTTTCTTTTGTTGACTGTCATGGGAGACCTGCCCTTTCCTAAATAGAAACTGAGAAGTGGATTCAGGGGTGGGAACAGAGAGATGATGAGGGGGAGGGACTGCGAGAAGAGGAGGGGAAGGAGAAACTGGCCAGGATGTAAAATCAATAAATAATTTTCTTAAAAAAGGATTTTTACATGCTGAATGTATATAAGGAAATACTTGACACAGTGAAGGTAGGGATGAATTGACAACATAACTATAAAATTATCCTCCCCTTATATTTAATGATTATAGTGTAATACTCTTGATTAAGGGATTAAGCTTTCAGCATTATTTGATATTTAATTTCTAAAATTTTAGTATATAAAATGTCATTCATCTTTTTCCAATAATATAAAATGTCTTGTGTTTCGTTAACTGGAAAGGGTAAAGTCTTTGGTGAAAGTGATATTTACTGTAAAGGTGAGGGAAACTAGGAAGTTTATGATCCCAGTTTTGTGCCTGGGAGAAAACAGATATGTTTTGGTGCTTGTGGCCTTTGCTTTCTTAGCTTCTACCCGCTGTTTGTAATCATTTCCAGTTGCTCTCTTAAGAGTTATTAGGACCTGAATTATGGTTACAGGTAGTAGTAGCAGTAGCAGCAGTCATACTTCAGAGTTTGTATGAGTAGTAGTCACAGAATAGAATCCCTGGAAGAAATGAGGAAAACATAAAATGAATCAGTTTTTGTTTGTTTGGTTTTTTTGGGGGGTGGGGTGGGGGAGGTTTTGTTTTTTTGTGACAGAGTTTCTCTGTGTAACAGCTGTGGCTGTTCTGGAACTCGTCTGAACTAACAGAGATCCGCTTGCCTCTGCCTCCTAAATGCTGGGATTAAAGGTGTGTGCCACTTGATTTTAATATATACAGAAGTGGGAAAAGTTGCTTGCATATGATGGGACCAAGGGACATCTGTTATAAAACCTTGTCTCCTTAATCTTTTGAGAACAATGCAAGGGAAAAATGCATTCAGTATATCAGTGTAGTAGCTCTTCATCAAGGTTGTAATATACTACAGTGATGAAATAATACACACATACACACACATACACACACACACACACACACACACATATTAGTTCATACTTATAAAAGTTATATACTAATACATCTTGATTACAAAGCAAATCTTAATCAGCATGACATAATTAATAATTATATGTTGTTGAATGAATGCCAAGGGTGAGATTGTTGGTATTACTTGAATGAAAAGAAATTGCTAAGTGTAGTATGTTGATAGGTAAATTAGATTTATTATTTACAATTTCTAGCTCTTTGAGTTCAGAATGTTTAGGTATTTTACATTTATTATGTAACTTATGACAAAATAAACATATATATTACAACAGTAAATGTTCTTTTTCTTTCCATTTTTTAGATGTGAATTACCTAACTGAAGAGATAGTGTATGAAATTCTTGACGTATGTAGAGAAAGTGAGGATTACTCCCCTTTAATTCGAGTAATTGGAAGAATTTTTTCTAGTGCTGAGGCATTGGTTATGAGCTTTCGGAAAGTCAAACAACATACTAAGGAGGAATTGAAATCTCTTCAAGAAAAGGATGAAGACAAAGATGAAGATGAAAAAGAAAAAGCTGCATGTTCTGCTGCTGCTGCATGTTCTGCTGCTCCTGCATGTTCTGCTGCTGCTGCATGTTCTGCTGCTGCTGCTGCTATGGAAGAAGACTCAGAAGCATCTTCTTCAAGGATGGGTGATAGCTCACAGGGAGACAACAATGTACAAAAATTGGGTCCTGATGAAGTGACTGTGGATATTGATGCTATTAGAAGGGTCTATGCCAGATTGCTCGCTAATGAAAATTTAGAAACTGCCTTTCTCAATGCACTTGTATATCTGTCACCTAACGTGGAATGTGACTTGACATATCATAGTGTGTATGCCCGAGATCCTAATTATCTCAATGTGTTCATTATTGTAATGGAGAATGGAAACCTCCACAGTCCTGAATATCTGGAAATGGCGCTGCCATTATTTTGCAAAGCTATGTGTAAGCTACCCCTTGCAGCTCAAGGAAAACTGATTAGACTTTGGTCTAAATACAGTGCAGATCAGATTCGGAGAATGATGGAAACATTTCAGCAACTTATTACGTTCAAAGTCATAAGCAATGAATTTAATAGCCGAAATCTAGTGAATGATGATGATTCCATTGTTGCTGCTTCAAAGTGTTTGAAAATGGTTTACTATGCAAATGTAGTGGGAGGGGAAGTGGACACAAATCACAATGAGGAAGATGATGAAGAGCCCATACCTGATTCCAGCGAATTGACATTGCAGGAGCTTTTGGGAGAGGAACGAAGAAACAAGAAAGGTCCTCGAGTGGACCCAATAGAAACTGAACTTGGTGTTAAAACTCTAGATTGTCGAAAACCACTTATCTCCTTTGAAGAATTCATTAATGAACCACTGAATGATGTTCTAGAAATGGATAAAGATTATACCTTTTTCAAAGTTGAAACAGAGAACAAATTCTCTTTTATGACATGTCCCTTTATATTGAATGCTGTCACAAAGAATTTGGGATTATATTATGACAATAGAATTCGCATGTACAGTGAACGAAGAATCACTGTTCTCTACAGCTTAGTTCAAGGACAGCAGTTGAATCCATATTTGAGACTCAAAGTCAGACGTGACCATATCATAGATGATGCACTTGTCCGGGTAAGTTTGACTGCTATTTAAAATCAGAATTAAACTAAAAGCTACAAAGTGACATATTTCAGTGTGTTCATTTTATCTATGGTTTTGAAAAAAAATGATCTTACAACTTAGTAACATGTTTGTATTTCTTATCTATATTACTACACCTATTTTGCTACTCACCAAAAATATTGGTTATATTGGTTGTCTAATCTAATGATTATTTTCTTTTTGAAGAAGAATAGATTTTATAGTGCTGGGGAGATGACTAATTGGGTAAAGTTTGCTGTGCCAATATGAGGACCTAAGCTTGGATTCCCTGAACATGTGTAAAACAGGATGTGGTAGTACCATTTATAATTCCACATCCTAAAACAAGATGGAAGGTAGAGACAGAAGAACCCTCAGAGCTTGTGGGTCAGAGAGCCTGTTATATAAAGTAGCAAATAACTAGATCCTGTCTCAGAAGGTAGAAGGCAAGGACTGATACTTGATGTGCTCTTCCACTAATGCATTTCCCTCTCCTCTCTCTCTCTCTCTCTCTCTCTCTCTCTCTCTCTCTCTCTCTCTCTCTCTCTCTCACACACACACACACACACACACACACACACACACACTTAAAAAGCACTAAAAAGGAATGGATTTTCAGCCGGGTGGTAGTGGCACACGCCTTTAATCCCAGCACTTGCGAGGCAGAGCCAGGCGGATCTCTGTGAGTTTGAGGCCAGCCCGGTCTACAGAGTGAGTTCCAGGACAGGCACCAAAACTACACAGAGAAACCCTGTCTCAAAAAAATAAAAAAGGAATGGATTTTCTAAATCTTGAAAGCCAGCCCCATATATTTTCATTCAGAAGAAAAGACTTCAAAGACTGGAATACTGAAACACATGACAAAGGGAAATGTGATACCTAGTGTTAAGAATGGATATAGCGGGAGAAGTAATGCAGTAAATCTGAATTTTAGATGTATAAAAGGTGCCTAGCAAATTTCATTATGTAAAACTCATCATTGTGAACTTGGTAATATGACCAGGATAGCTTGGTTCATTTTGTCAGTAAGACTTTGGAGTTCTAAGCCACTCTGTCTTACATGACACTGTAGGATTTTTTTTTTTTCACTGTAATAATAAAAGTCTTGAGACTTCTGGAAGACTTTGGGATTAATGATAACAATTTTTCAGTCAAATCTAGAATTTTTAACTGGGAAGACAGGTACTTCTAACTCCCTGAATTTTTTTCAAGTGACATTGCTTCTTATCTGTTTCTTTCTTCTACAGACGACAAGAATTGCAATGTCCCTGTCAATTAAGCAATAAAATTGGTTTGCCAATTGCCAGTCATATTTTTACAGAATTATATTTAACAAATTTAGGTCTTTATTCTGTGGTGTTAATTATTCCTGTCAGTGCTAGTTCTTTTTCTATGAGCTTGATGTAAAAGTTAGCACTGTTATAATTGAAGTATCACCCTTATACACTAACAAATAATAAGAACGCATAACAGCTAACAAATAATATTTATTTGAAAATGTATTTTTGTTTTAGTATGGATTTGTTTAAATCTGAAAAGTAATAAGACTGAACTAAATTCAGACTTAACCAAAGCTGTCTACCTTTCTTACCTGATTCCTTTGTTATTTTCTTCCTTTCCTCCTTTTTTTCTATAATAAAGTGATGGTAAGAACCAGTAAAAATTGAGATAGTATTTACATATTTTTTTAAGTTACGTTTTAGGAGAAAATTAGCCATTTCTGTATTTAAAATTCTTTTTCTAAAGAGGTTTTGGAATAAAATCAACAGTAAGTTTTGTAATTATGCGTTGACATGTTATAAATCATAATTCATTAGATATCTGTACTTGACTAGTACCAGTTTGCAGAAGCCCTTGCCTTCATCAGTTTTGTGTGCCTGTCTCTTTGATAAGCAGTATAGTTACAAACAAATAGTATTTTTTTGAGCATTTCCTTTCCCTACTTTTCCTCCTCCTCTCTTCTTCGACTTCCTATACCATTTTAACTCCCATCCCCAGATTTCTTTTTCTTTTTCAACATACTAGTGTGAAAGGGTTAGAATGTAAGTATAGACACAGGCCTTAGAGATCAAATTGATGACTCCCCCATAAACAATATTAACAGCAAGTCACATTAGACTAGTAACAGAAAGGATGTTTACAGCAAGCAGTATTTAAAAAGATCCCCACTGATGAACTGCTTTCTTTCCGTGTCTTATTTTCCACGCATCCCTTTTGTTTTTTAAGCCTCGTGCTTTCTTTCATAAAATGCTTGACAAAATAATTCCTGTTGATCACACTTGCTTATTACCTAATCATTTTGAACTGCATATTAAGGCTGGATATAGAAGAAGGAAAGAGAAGTTCTGCCATGAATTCATCATTAATAAATAAATAATGAAAGTTACAGTACCCTAAACTTAAGAGCTGAGAAGATGATAATAAGTTTTTTTCCTTAGTTTACAAATGAGGCTTAGAAAAGATCGCATATGTGATTTTTTTATATTGAATATTATTTTACAGTTATTAATTAGACTCGCTAGTTTGAAGGTAGAGAGGTCAGTAAACTAGAATTAATAATTATGATTTTTTTTTTACACTTGTGATCATCTTGTTTCTGCTTCCCTTTGAGTGCTAAACTCTCTGGTCAATTTTTTTTTTTTAAGCCAAAGTATGTCCATTGCTTTCATGTGTTATTAAATTCAAATCAGTCTTAACAACTCTTCCCTAACCTGTGCTTTTAGAGGAACTGTTTGTTGACAAGAGAATAGTTAGTGTTTGAAATATTTTATTAAGTATAAGGTACTGTTTTTTAAAAAGTACTATTTTATTCCTACTAAAGAGAAAAAAAAACTGCATCATTTCTCCCAAGCCTTGATTTTTGGCTTTTATTGCTTAGAAAATAATACAGAAATAAATAATAATGAGAATCCTTCTTCCATTTGAATGATAATAGTTCTAGTGTGGAAGGTTGTTTTTTGTTTGTTTTTTTTTGTTTTTGTTTTTTCTCCTTAGGCTACTGAGATGGTTTAGTGGGTAAAAGTCACTTGCCACCAGCCCTGATGATGCACATGGTAGGAAAGAACTGAAGCCCAAATCTTATCCTCTGACCTCCAGTGTGTGCTGTGCTACATGTGTCCCTCTACTCCCCAGTAAATAATTAACATATGTTCTCTTTCCCTTTTGAACAAAACTTTTTGAGGAATGTAGTATATATACAATCTTAAAATCTTGTTTTTAAAGGAGTAGGAGATCAAGATTCTTTGTATCAAGGAAGAGACAATATTGCTTCAGACTGACGTCACAGTCTAAACAGAGAGCTGCCCAAATGAAAAACACAACAGCAACAAAAAATCAAGGTTTTGCCTTTTAGCAATTCAGATTAGGGATTCTGATATGAAGCCTTGGTGTCTGTACGTTAGATATCAAAATATCTAGCATACCAAAGTACATCTATGCTGCAGACCAATATTTGGGAAATGGCTCTTAGTACAGGTTAGGTTATTGGCTGTGTTAATTTACATGCTTAGAATATTGCAAGTATTTAAAAGGAATAATGAAGTTAGTGTAACTAAAATAGGAGTTAATGGTGTTATAGTACCTGATTAAATTTAGTAAATTATAGAATTTTAAATGGTTAATCTGAAGACCAAAAGGAATGGTTAAGATGTAGAACTGGAAAAGAAAGTCCAAAAACCAGGAGCTGGCACACACAGATGAAGGAAATTGGTTAAAAGAAAAAGAATTGTTGCCCAATTTCCTCTCAAAGTCACTAACCCTGTTTATTTAGGGATCTAGAAGCATCTAACTCAGCTTCCATAATTAGCATTAGTATGAATACCTATTGCTACATGAATTTGAGATTTTTTAATCAGCTGGCCTACAGTGCTTTAATAATGGAGGTTTTCTGTGCTGTGTATTTAATTCTATCAATCATTCATTAATTAAATTGTGCTTAGGATAATTACTATTATTTAAAATTACTCTAATAGAAATGATTGGAATCCTCACTTTATCTTCAAATTAATTTCTTAGAATGAGAATGAGAAATGAAATAGTCAGAATTATAAAGGGTCAGCATTATATAATAATGTAAAATAATAAAATTCATCAAACTCCTATTTCATGTGAGGAAAATAAATTTTAGAGAGATTCTTATTTATAGAAATGAATGTCATAATTGGATTTAGAACCTAAGATGGTAATCATTTGACTCAGCTATAATCCACTTAAACTTTAAGGCACAAAAGACTGGTCTTTATTTATTTACAGATATCATGAAAAACTTAAATTCATCAAGGTAATTGCATTTGTGATCACTATCTTAGAGTTATTTACCAAAGTGTATAAAACACCTTTCTTGGAGAGTCTTAGCACTATTGAACTAATTTAAGTGCTGCTTCTACTTAAATAATTAAATCCCTAGTTTTTTTCTTTTATTTAAATTATGTCAACATAGGACTTGAGGTAGTAACTCAGGATGTCTAAATGTTTTAAATAATAGACTTGAAAAAATATTTTTGACCTTTGAAGATACAGGAATAGAATGTTTTGCATCAATATATCATCCTACTTAGAGTTCTGGGAATGCGTTCATATCAGGTCACCTTGTAACAAATGATCTCTTTAGGATTTGTCTTGCCAATTAAAAGTTAAGGAATTTAAAATTATTTTAACAGTTGATAAGAGCAAGAATTCCTAATCAGAAAGGAAGCTGAGTTAGGAAGTGGCACTGTATTTTAATACAGTATAATAATACTACTACAATCTATTCTGGCATACTATTTTATATTTCAAGAAATATAAATACATATAAAATCCATTGCTGTATAATTAATGAGGTCAAGGATGCTTACAGATTATTTTCAAAATTATCTGACATATTCCAACAATTTTCATTTTCCCAACTATATAAAAAAAACTTGATTTTACAAATTTAGTTTTAAATAAAAGGTGTTATATAAAGTAATATAATTGTATAATTTTAATTCCTATACTATTCTTTGATTGACGAAACGATGGCTTAAGTTTTGTGTGTGTGTGCTTTAAGGGTTATTATTTTTAAGAAAAAGAAAATTTAATGTGACTTCTTATGATAATGGCTTCTGTCAGTGGTTATTATTAAATATGTTTTGTTTTTGTTGTCACAGTTTTTAGAAAGATAGGCTACTAGTGCATTATCTTCAAAGAAGATAATAATTTACAAAATCACTTTGGCACATTGAGAATGGTCTTCTTAAATAGCTAATTGGACACTTCTACCTACAGAATTAAGTTGCCAACTATTTTTAAATCATAACCTTCGAATACGCCCTGATTCTGAAAATAATATGTGAGTATTGATAAGACTGTAAAAAGCCAAAGAAGAAAGTAAAAAGGCGCATAAAATCTAAAAACAAGTATTATCTCTAGTTTCTGTGGAGAAGTAGTTGAACTGTAGTCTAAAGCTTGCTCTCTGAATTAGAACCTCTCTTCTCTGAATTACTGTTTCTTAAATTATTCAGCCTTTTATTATTTCAAAGCTCCATCTGTAAAGTGATTTTAGCCATCTGCTTGCTAGGTGGTTGTAGATAATCAAACCAATTTTTATTTGTAAAGTGATTCATAAATTTTTTTTAATTAAAGTCATCTTTTTAAAAATTATTTATTTATTTGTATTTTATGTACAGTGGTGTTTTGCCTGCATGTATGTCTATGTGAAGGTGTCAGATCCCCTGGAACAGGAGTTATAGACAGTTGTGAGCTGCCATGTGGGTGCTGGGAATTGAACCCATGTCCTCTGGAAGAGCAGCCAGTGCTCTTTACTGCTGAGCCATCTCTCCAGCCCCAATTCATAAGTTTTATATACTACTTCTGCTGCTCTTATTCCCGAACAATTTTTGTCTTAAAAATCTTCTGGTTAAGTATTCTGACAAAACTGGAAATACTTATTTTTTAATCTTAGTTTAGATAGAGAATGAGTGTATAGCCTTCACTGGCCTGAAATTTTCTATGTAGATGAAACAGCATTAAAGTAACAGAGTTTGAGTGCTGGGATTAAATGCATATGTTGCCATGTGTAGAGAGCCTGGAACATTTTTAAATTAATAGAATGATAGTACTTGCAACCACAAGCTTATAGTCAGAGTTAATGTTAGAGAATTAATCTAAGCACTTCACATATTAATTTATTTGATACTATATTATGTTTAGTTTATATTTCAAAGCAAAGCAAAAAAAGACAGAAAATTATGTTTTCAGTGATCAAAATAGAACATACAGTATTATTCTGGTAACCAGTATTGGAGGAAAAAGAGTAGAGATTGATAGAAATGGACAGACATATACTGTCTTATTTGAATCATAATGGGCTAAGAATACCAACAGGCTTTTGAATCAAATAATTTACATGTTTTAATAGAAAAAACAATCAAATGCATAAATATTGGGCTTTTTTTCCCTATTTAGTAATATTTGATCAAAGAAGTTTTGCTTTTGTGTTGGAAAAACAAATGAAAACATTTAGTTAAGTCTCTTAAATTCTTAGCAAGAGAACTGGAAGAAAGTACTGAGATGGGTCACACAGTAATAGTAATGTTGTGTGGGAGCATTGAAATTCAAAGTTTCAAAGTTATTCTTTCTTAAGACAAATTTCCAATTAGCACTGTTGTCAGTGTGCTTTTTTTTTCCATTTTCAGGGTTAATTTTGAATCCACATATTTTTTTTGACTGTAGAGTCTCAGAACTAGTCTACCTTTTGATCTTTTTGGGGGACATAAAATTGTGAATTTTAAGAAATAAACTATATTTTAAAGAATAATATTAGTTCATACCAATTTTGCATGCTTAGTAGAAATTATATATTCTTAAACTTTTACCATCTTGTAGTAAGGAGAATATTACCTCCTTTTTTCTTTGTACATTAGAAACTTGTCAAGATTTATGGAGCTTAATAATTAAATGTTAATCTGTAGTAACATTTAGGACTTATAAAAGAGTATTTGGTTTCTTATATATTCAGCAACAAAATAGTGCTTCAAAAATAAATTTTCAATAAATACTGACCTGAAAATTATGTATGTGAGCTGAGAAGATAGGTCAATTAGTAGAGTGCTTACAGTAGATCCAAGTTTAATCCCCAAAACCCTGTTAAAGAAGAGAAAAATGGAGTGGGCATTGCAATCCTGATACTAGGTAGTCAGGTACTGGTACTGGCAGGTGCCTGGGGCTTCTTGACAGTATAACCTGTGCTGCTTTTCAATCTTCCAGGCAAGTCAGAGACTCTCCGTTGACAAGCAAGGTGGACAGGTCCTGAGGAATAACATCTGAGGTGTAATCACACATACGTATCTGCACACATGAAGACATATAAATGAGTTAAACAAGAGCAAGACAGATTTAAAAAAAAAAAATTCATAGTATCCTAGAACCCCAGAGTTGAAGATATCCAGGAATTAATTTGAACCATTTGTTTTTTTCCAAAAATTTTTGGCTATATCTCCTACTAAGAAAAATATAGCATTTTAAACAAAATATATACCTATATATTGAAATATGTCTTGCCAAAAATAGTAGGTCCTATTATCTTTTGGAATGCATTCTGATGTGGTGGATCATTTTTTTTTTTTTTTTTCAAACTTCTTATTGGTTGCAAACCATTACAGCGCAGTTTTAAAAACAGATCTAGGGCAGCCTGGCCAGATTCTTGAATTTATGAGATTCTAGTTAGTTTTTTTTTTTTTTTTTTAATAGACACCCAAAAAATTATTGTTGTTTATGGAATTTGCTTTAGGAAGCTAATATACTTACTCAAGTGCCATTTACATTTTTCAAAGCCCTTTTAAAATTCCTTTTGGACTGGTTAAGCAGTCTTTAACATCCTTAAATATTGTTTTGTCAAGCTTTCATCTTTTATGTTACTTTTTTTAAGCCAACATGTTTGAAAACAATGTTAAAAATACATTGAATAATTAGTTATGAATATTATCTGAGAAGTTTAAGTAGATAAATTACATTTTAAACATAACACATTAGAATTTAATATTAATTTCATAGCAGACTGAAGTTAATGCTAGTAGAGCAGTTTTGGCTAATGGTTAGCTGAAGAATTAAGATATGAAGTGTATGTTTCACCAGCCATTGTGAAAATGTGGATATTGCATGCCACATTATAATCCACTGAAAAGTGGCAATAACTATAAATTTGTTTTGGCAGAAGGGGAATTAAGTTAACAACAGAGTCTTGATATGTAATCTAAGATTTCCTAGAACTTATGATTTTCCTGTCTCATAGGCCTGAACTATCACATCTGGCTTTCCAGTGTATATTTCTTAATTGAAATTATCTCACTTATAACATGGTAGTTAGGAAGACTTAACTCTTTACATTTCCACGTATAAGTTATTTATATGTACTATAATTTCTACTAGTAAAAAATGTATAGGTCACATTTCTATGCTTGGTTTTGCTAAAATGACAATGTGAGTAGGCAAACAAGTATTTTGCTACCTCAACTTGTTCTCATGTCTTGTTCTGTGGATTATATTAATATATAAAAATATAATAATAGAAAATTTAGTTAAGTTAGAAGTAACTATTTTCTTTAGTGGTAGTTTTGTGTGTATGTGTTGTGTGGTGTATGTTTGTGGTTAATGCCTATGAATGTGCTGATGTATGTACCTATGCGTGAACATCTGGAAGCCTGTCTATGATGTCAGGTGTTTTTCCACTTTTAAATAATAAGATCATTGAGTGAACTGGAAGCTCACTCATTTTGACTACGCTGTCTAACCAGCAAGCATTAGAGATCTTCTGGCTTGTTCCCCACCATGTTGCAGGTGTTAAGTAATGTTGCAGTCATGAGTGGCCATGCCAGGAGTTTAACATTGATACTAGGGATTCAAACTGAGATTTTAATGCTTGCAGATGAAGTACTCTTACCTAATCAGCCATGTCCCTAACACTCTACCATACTCTTTGGAAGGGGAGTCAGTTTGCTTCTGGTTTTTATTCAGAAACAAAATTGTTTCTTTTTAATAATACTCCTTGTTTTCTTATACTTGACTTGCATTTAGCTTTTATCCTATTCTCATCAGTCTTCTTTATCTTTTCATTCAACAGCTAGAGATGATTGCTATGGAAAATCCTGCAGACTTGAAGAAGCAGTTGTATGTGGAATTTGAAGGAGAACAAGGAGTGGATGAGGGAGGTGTTTCCAAAGAATTTTTTCAGTTGGTTGTGGAGGAAATCTTTAATCCAGATATTGGTAAGTGTTAGTGATATGATTATGATATGTTAGTCTTTTGAATTATGAACTTGTTTTGAGAATATTCTCAACTATGATAAACAACAAAAGAATTGAGTATAATTATTACAGATAACAAATATGTATGCTTCAGGAACTTATCTGTCATTCACGTATTCACGTTCTTCCTTAGATTACTTAGCCAAATATTCTAGTAGAGAACACTTTTTGGTAAATTTAATTTGGAAAACCTTAGAATGGTGGATTGGAAACAACTGAAGGCATGAGATTAATGGTTTATAAATTTTATACTCTGGTTAATTTATAGCTTATTGTTCTTGAGAACAAAATCATCCATTTGTGACATTCTGTTTAGACTTATTGCTTGTCAACTGAAGTTTTAGATACTCCATGGATCTATAACTTGGCTTACAAATAAATAACTATACATACAATGTATACATATTTTTAAAACTGTGGAACTTAAGTATAAATTGGACAATTTTAAAACCAGCATTTCACAAATACTAAATTGCAAGAAAAAGCATAGACTTCATTTATACTCCTACAGGTTAGAGAGAAAATTGTAGTTTTCTTTTTCATTAAAACGGAAAATGAAAATGAAACATTTTAAAATCTTTTCAAAATTAACTTAAAAGTACATTTTAATGCTGTTTTATTTGGTTTTGAATAATCTTTTTCCATTAGAAAAAAGTTTTTTCCCAAACCTACTTTGGTTTGTTTCCTTTGGTCTTGGTTTTGGTTGTGGACAGTCTTTTTATATTATATTAGTGCTTTCTGGCCTTAAACTCATGATCCTCCTGCCTCATTCTGCTAATGTGTGCAATTCCTTCTCCCCCAGCATATTACTTTAGCCACTTAACTGAAACTTACATAAGAAGCAAACTCATGATCAATTACAATTACATATTAATTTACAAGTACTTTCTGAGAAGCAACTGAAAATGAACTTAGAAAAATTAAAAAGCATAAGAATATATTTTAAATATTTTTATCTTTGATGTTCCCTGAAAAAGAAAAGACATCTCTATTACTGCTCCGTAGATGAAATAATGATGATAGGAGAAATGTCTCTCAAGTTTGGTTTTGAATAATGAAGATCATGTAAAGATGAAAGATTATAAAGTTGCCTTTTTTTTTTTTTTTTTTTTGGTTTTTCGAGACAGGGTTTCTCTGTGTAGCTTTGCGCCTTTCCTGGAACTCACTTGGTAGCCCAGGCTGGCCTCGAACTCACAGAGATCCGCCTGGCTCTGCCTCCCGAGTGCTGGGATTAAAGGCGTGCGCCACCACAGCCCGGCTAAAGTTGCCTTTTTAAACTATTAGCTCATATTAGATATGTATTTTAAGTACCTTAAAGTTAATCAACTTTATCTAATTTTTGTAATTGATCATGAGTTTGCTTCTTATGTAAGTTTCAGTTAAGTGGCTAAAATATGACTGTAAATTAACCTTTCATTAGTCAATGAAAATCTGTAATAAGCCTTGAATAATTTAATTAAGCTTTTTAAAAATATCTTTCCTGAAATGTTACCCAGATTGCGTTTTATTTTATTTTGTTGTGTTCTTAGAATTGTATACCACCAATTAATACACTTAATGATAATCGGATACTATATTTGTACAGTTTTCTTACATGCATGTAATAGCAAAAACTTAAATCTACTGCATTAAAATTCTGGGTTTTTTTTGTCAAAATTATTTTTAAATTTTTAGAGTTTCAAAAAGTACAAATTATTTTAAAACTTATTTTTATAGGTATGTTCACATATGATGAAGCTACAAAATTATTTTGGTTTAATCCATCTTCTTTTGAGACTGAGGGTCAGTTTACCCTGATTGGCATAGTCCTCGGTCTGGCTATTTACAATAACTGTATACTGGATGTCCATTTTCCCATGGTTGTCTACAGGAAGCTAATGGGGAAAAAAGGAACCTTTCGTGACTTGGGAGACTCTCACCCAGTAAGTTCTTTGTCATTCTTTAAATAGTCTCTAAGATACTATCTAAATACAGAAGTACATCTTAATTGATATAAAAATATGTTTTTGTTTGGGATCTTTTGTCAATACATACTGCTAACCAGTGTGGTAAAAATTCTTTTAATCTGTTTAAGTAATGAACACTTAAATTTTTAAAGAGTATTGTTTCTGTAGATTGCATCAAGCAACTTTTGATTGACTGCATAGTTAAATGTTGTAAACATTGTTTTCAATGTAACCTATGACTGCCTGGTAGAATGAGCATTGCTTGGTCCTTGATAGATACAGCTGATGTGTTTTTTTCCTCTGTGTACCTGGTCTCCAGCCTGGAGATACTGTGGATGTTCTAGAGCTCAGTATGAAATATGTTGCTGAGTTGATGATTTGAAGAATTTCTAAGCGAAGATTGACACATTATCAGTGACAGTGACAATTTTTTTTCCTTTTTTTTCTTTCCTGTTATTTTCAAGACAGGGTTTCTCTATGTAGCTCTGGCTGTTACAGCAGTCATTCTATAAACTAGGCTGGCCTCAAACCCACAGAGATCCACTGCCTCTACTTCTCGGGTGCTGGGATTAAAGGTGTGCACCACCACTGCCCAGCTCAGTGACAGTCTTTATGTCTTAATAAACTATTTGGGAGATGGAGGAATAATTTTGGCTTCATTTTTATTGACAAATTGTTTCTAAAAGGAATGAAAACAAGCTGTTGCGCTCTCTCTCTCTCTCTCTCTCTCTCTTTTAAAATGTCTTTTACAAGTCATTTGGTAGCCTCACTTCTCTTTCTGATTGTTAGGTTTTATATCAGAGTTTAAAGGACTTATTGGAATATGAAGGGAATGTGGAAGATGATATGATGATCACTTTCCAGATATCACAAACAGATCTCTTTGGTAACCCAATGATGTATGATCTAAAGGAAAATGGTGATAAAATTCCAATTACAAATGAAAACAGGAAGGTAATAAAAATTTTCTGACATTGTTTTGTAAATATATAATTTCAAAGCAGTTTTCTTAGAGTTTTCAAAGAATTATCTAATATGGCTTGAAGCGGTAACAAAAAAAATCACAAACAAATTTATGTAGATAGTAAAGGTACAGTTTGCTAACTCTTAGATAAGAGCCATTGTCAGTATATACAGTTAGTTTCTAATCCCTCTTTAGAGAGAGTACACTGACTAGGACAGAATGAATGCGTAAATATAACTATAGTGTAACACCAGAAACAGGGCATTACCATATTAAACTGTAGAGGTAATGGCCCAAGTGATTAAGGTCCTATTTAGTGTGTATACATATTTCCCATTTGAAATCTAATTATACATCTGAAAATTATTCTTTTCATTGGATTTAGTTTCTGTTAATTTAAAACAGTATTCATTTAGGAACAGGAAATAACTGAACAGAATAAGAAAATTACAATAAATAGTTTAACTTTTAAGAAATATGTAAGTTTATATTACTACTTTTTTGGTAAAATATTACAATGTCAGAACACAGAATACATTTTTGTAATTTAATAGAGTAGCTTAGCTTACCAACAAATAGTGTTTTTGCTGAACTGGATACAGTAAGTAGTTTACCAAAGTCTCTAGTAGAAAATATGAGATTCTGGTTTGCTCAAATTCAGTGTTCATATCTTAAACTTATATTTGCATACTTAGTTAAGGGACTTTGGAACATTGTGTTGAGGCTCTGTTTTAATATTAAGTCATTTTAATCTTTTATATTAATCTTACTATTATAAAATTATATTTTATATTTCCTGTTTAATTTACTCAGAATCATAATTTATATATTCTTGTATATGACCTATTTATAGATTAGTATATATCAGAAGTGAGGAAAGTATCTTTTTTTGTATATACAAAAAAATTGTGAAAGTATCTTTCTTTGTATATACAACATTTTATTAATATTTGTAAGACTTTTGTCTTATATGCATGAATGTTTTGCCTGTATATATGTTGGTGGGTTGTTTGCATGTATTGCCCATGGAGGCCAGAAGAGTATCCTGGAAGTGTAGTTACAGATAGTTGTTAGTTGCCATGCAAGTGCTGGGAATTGAGCTTAGATCCTCTCTAAGAGTTGCTAATGCTCTTAACTTCTGACCCATCTCTCCAAAATTTATTTTTTTAACTTATTTTTAAAAAATACTCCTGAAGGATTTCTTTTGGGTGGGGCTAAAAGCAGCTATGTAAACCTAATAACTAATTGTGTTCACTTGTACTTGTATAGCATGTGACTTTTTGTTTTTAATGTTTATACAGGAATTTGTCAATCTCTATTCAGACTACATTCTCAATAAATCAGTAGAAAAACAGTTCAAGGCATTTCGCAGAGGTTTTCATATGGTGACTAATGAATCTCCCTTAAAGTACCTATTCAGACCAGAAGAGATTGAATTGCTTATATGTGGAAGCCGGGTAAGAAAGACATCTGCAAAAAACAAAACAAAACAAAAAAAACCCTCATATTTTATTTTTTTAATAGTTTGCTGTAAATGTTAAGGTGTATTTTTTTTCTATAATTTTCAGAATCTAGATTTCCAGGCACTAGAAGAAACTACAGAATATGACGGTGGCTATACCAGAGAATCTGTTTTGATTAGGTGAGGTGTTTTATTCTTAAGAAGATTTTATTCATCAAAGAAGTTTATGTGTACTGTTGTAATTCAGACCTGTATCTGTCGGTATTGCTTCCCAAACAAGCAAGCTCAAAGGCGCTCATCTGTAAAAGTAGACCTGTATTAATATTACCGGTTTTCTTACAATCTAATGATTTATTTAATTAATTAAGTGGTTATATAAGTCTCATGTTTTCTCTTGCTTTTGGTTTATTTCTGGTAATATGTAAAGTGGTACATTTTTTGGTCTTTAAGATATTTGGGACGAATGATATGTACTGGTGCTTCTGAACAATTCTCAGAACAGTGTCACTGATACTGTCTTTCTCTAGCCAAATGCCCTGGTTATTGTTCCTACTTCTCTGTAATATCCAATTCTGAAAGATGGGTTTCCGATCCACTAATGTAACTGGTCAAAATGACAGATAGGCCCTTTTAGCATCCACTATTTGTTGTAAAGTCAGAGGCATTTAAACTGGAAGATCCCTCTAGAGCTGTAAGACTCAAGTATGTGAAGAACAGAATGCATATTAACTATGTCTAGTAATGATACATTATGTTTGTTAATTTTATATCACAGTGTTATTTTATTATTTATCTAGGTTTGTAGAAGATTACTGTTGCTTTGCCCTTTCTAACAGCAGTCACAAGTGTGTTTACTAATGGCAATCATTATATTGCTCCTAAAAACTCAGTTTCAAAGGTTATTCATAAAAGGACTGAAATAACATGGTAATAGTAAAGCCTTAATGGGAATATCATGACATTGTTATTATAATTATCATAACATATATATATATATTATATCTGTAATAATGTTGATCCAAGATAGGCCTTCTCAGAGAATTAATATGAGAAAACTAGCTTTACAGTACATTTCATTTTAGACCAGTAGAAGTATCTTGGACTGTTATTTCTGAATCAATTATCTTAGAAATCAAAGTTTTATGCTTTTGTAACAATTCCATTCTTATGTCATGCATATCTTAAGATTATCTGTGAATTCAGGCTTTAATGGCAAGAAAATTACAGCAGTAAAAAAGGTTCAGACTTAACAGTTTATGGTATCTTATATCCTGTGAAACTACTTCAACTTTTTTTTTTTTTTGTCACTATAAATACTGTGAAATCATTCATTGGAATTTATAGTTAGTAGGAGTCAAATACTAAAATAATCCTTTGCCCTAAAATCTAACAATACTGATATGTTGTTAATAATTATCTTGTGTATTCAGAATTTATAAAATCAGAATGCACAAGTAAGGTTTTATGCATGTATTTTTCATTTGGAAAAGTTCTACCTGTTTCCTTTTATCTACTTAAGAGATTTTTTTTCTAATGTTCCATCCCCCTTTTGAGATTAGAGATAGCTGTTTTATCATTTTTCATTAATTAAATTTTATGTATATCAGTGTTTTGCCTGCATGTATGTATGTATGTATGAGGGTGTCAGATGCTGTAGTTGTAGGCAGTTGTGAGCTGCCGTGTGGATGCTAAGAATTGAACCCAGGTCCTCTGAAAGAGCAGCCAGTCCTCTTAACTGCTGAGCCATCTCTCCAGCCCCAGCAATTTATCTTTTAATGGATAATTTCAACTTCAAAGGCTTGATTCAGCTCTGTATTTGATTTCTTCCCTACCTAATAAGTTTTTATTTGTACTTCGTTGTAGAGATACTTAACCATCTCTGCCTTTTAGTAATTTTTGCCCTAGGTGAAGATAGACAACTTTGTTAAATCATTTAGTACTATCAGATGATAATATTGTTATTTTTAGTCCACATTTTATTACTTGGAGTATTGATAAGTATTATCTGTAGTGCTCATCAATATTTGCTTTTCTAGAATTAGAGATATATATTTTATTATATACCTTTCATGATAAATGAGTCTTTCTCATTACTAATTTTTTTGTTTACCAAAATCTTATAATAGCTTAATCGCTCTCTAAACAGTGGTTATCTAAACATTATGAATATGGCGTTGGTGATAATGGTGATACTAATGTGTGAGGTAGCTTTTAGGTACAGTGAAATATGCAGAACTTTACTGGACAATTTGGAGATTCAGATAATTACACCTTTGCAACAGCAAGATACAGACTATTATCCAAGTTCCTGTGGCTCTTTGCTGTTAATTCCTGTTCCTACGGGCAATCACCGTAGAGATTTCTGTAACAGTGGATTTTTTTTCCTTTCTTTCTTTTTTTTTGGGGGGGGGTTGTTATTGAATTAAATATATATGGAGTCATTTTTGAAATCTATTCATGTTATTACTCTAATTTACATTGTGAGTTTTTTATGGCAAAATAATGTTTTAGATGAATGTATGATGTTTGCTTATCCATTCTCCTATTATTGATGGCAATTAGATTTTCTTAAGGTTAGAACTATTACAAATAAAGTTATCCAGTCTTATTGTTGAAGTGTTTTCATTTCTCTTAGACAAACATAGGAGATAGAGGTTTGTGTTTTAAGCTTTTTAGCTTTTTCTTTTCCTTTTTTTTTTTTTTTTTTTTTTTTGCTAAATGATAGTGCCATTTCACCCTAGGATGACTAGCAATGTCAGAGCTCTCAGCTCTATATCTCTTTCAGTCTTTGGTCATGTTGTTCTTTAGTTCTCTTGGAGGAATGTGAAATAAAATCTCAATTGTAGTTTAAATTTGCATATCTCTGATGACTCATGATGTTGAGCTGGCTTCACTTTTTTTTTTTTGCCATTACTTTGTTAATTGTCTTCCCCGTTTTTTACTGATTATGATTTTTTTCTTTTAAAATATATTCTTGATAAAAGATTGTTGCTAACATGTTATACATGTGTTCTTATAGTTTGTAGCTTTCTTTTCCCCATTGAATTTCTTTTTTGTTGAAAATGAATTATTTGTTAATTCTAGATTAGATTCTGTTCTAAGTATTCTTATGTCTTTTGGTCAGATTCATATCTTATTGATTCTTTACATTATAGAACAGGTCTTTAAATCAGAAGGTGTGAGTGACCACCTTTACTTTTTCCTTGTTCTCAATTCCTTTTACTGTTTTTACTTCCATAGAAATATTAAAATCTGTTTCTGAATTTTACATGAATAGAGTAAAATTCCTTTGAGATTTTGATTTGAATTACTTTGATTGAATAAATCAGTCTGAGAATTGTGGTGATGTATTGTGTCCCCCAATATACTGTGTTTCCCAATAAAATTTACCTGAGAGATCAGGGAAATTGGGAAAGCCACAACTAACCTCACCTTACCAACTCCACAGCTTCCAAAGAGCGAGCTACTTCCTTTCTACCCATGCCTATATAATCCTTGCTGTTCTGCCATCTGATTTGCTGTCTCTATCCAGCTATATCATTTCCTCTTCCTGCCCAGCTCTATCACTTCCTGTCTGTCTGTACAGACCTACAGACCTCCATGGTTAACTAGTGTTGGAATTTAAGGCATGTGCCACCATGCCTGACACTTTTCCCAGTGTGGCCTTGAACTCACAGAGATCCAGACAGACCCTGCCTGCCAAAATAAGATTAAAGATGTGTGCTACTATTGTCTGACTTCTGTGGTTTCTAGGCTGGCCTTTTCCTCTGATCCTCAGGTAAATTTTATTGGGAGGCAGAGTATATTGGGGAACACAATACATCACCATAGAGAATTGTCATTTTCACCAGTTTGGATTCTCTAAACCTCAAGCATGACATAGACCTTTCCATTTATTATGCATTAGTTTCTCCTAGCATTGTCTTGTAATTTTAGTGCTGAAATACTGTATGCTTTAGTCAGGAATAAATATTAATCTGACATGTTTCTTATGTGTTATTTTTTATTTCTGAGACCAAGCTTATAATTACTTCTTAAATTGTATTAAAGAACCTTATCAGATAATTCAAACATCTTATTGATATCTATGTTGGCATCAGTTGTTTTCATTTCCTGGTTTCTGGTATGCTAGTATTTTTGTTTCATTTTTGTCTTTTGAAGGTTTTGTTATTGTTTTGTTTTATCTAAAATATTTTTTTTCATATAATATATTCTGGTTATAATTTCACCCTCTCCCTACTTCTCCCAGGTTCTCCCACCTCTCCTCCATCTGGATTACACCTTTTCTTTCTCTTGTAAGAAATTAAACAGGCATCTAAGGAATAATATTAAAATACATGAAAATAAATGAAAAAACAAATTGGAATATGACAAAACCAAGAAAAAGAGCCAAAGAAAAAAGGCACAAGAAACACATATAGATGTAGAGACACATGTTTGCATACTCAAGAATCTTATAAAAACCCAAACCATAAAGCCATAATACATAATCAGAGGATCTTTAAGTAGGGAGGGAAACCCCCTGACTTACCATTATGAGTTGAAGAACCTCTGTAGATGCTGGTGAATTAGGTTTGTGTTGGCCATCTATTGATGGACACAGGACCCATCCATATGAGTAGTTTGTTTCCCCATTGAGACTCCCTTGGACAAAACCAGTTTTTCATTTGCAAGTGGCTATCAGTTAGAGATCGCTTCTAGGTTAGGGATGGTTGTATGTGTTCACTTCTCCTTTCAGCTCTAGGACCACATCTGGTGCATACCAGACAGGTTCTGTGCATGCTGCCACAGTCTCTGAGTTCATATGTGCAGCAGCTCTGTTGTATCAAAAAGGACTTGATTCTTTAGTGTCCTCCATTCCATCTGGTTCTTAACACTCTTTCCCCTTCCATAGAGTTCTCTGAGCCCAGTGGGGAGGTGATTTGATGAAGACATCCCCTTTAGAGCTGAGTGTTCCAAAGTCTTCTGCATATTTTCTGGCTGCAGGTCTCTGTATTTGTTCCTTTCTGCTTCAGGAGGAAGCTTCTCTGATGGTGGCCGAGCACAGCACAGCTCTATGAGTGTAGCAGAATGTTGTTTGGAGTCATTTTACTCCTACATTCCTTTAGCAGAACAGTAGTACTTGATTTCCCCCTAGGTTCTTGGGCTATTTAGACTCAGGTTCATAGCCACCTGAGCAA